CGGGGTAGAGCTGGGGGGGGCGGCGGGAGGGCAAAACTCCGCCGGTGCAAAGGGAAGAGGGGAGGGCTCGGGGGGGTGAGCCCCCGCCGCACCCCGTGCTGCCCCCGGTGAGCCGCGCCGGGGGGAGTTGGGGGGCGCTGGTCCGTCCCCTCTGTCCCCCTCCCCCATGGCGGGGGCTCTCGGAGCCCGCTCCGGTTTGGGGCTGAAGTTTTGGAGCCCGTTGTTTGCAGGAAAGGCCTCGATCTCCTGGTGGCAGAGGGATGAGATGGTGCCAGCCTGGGGGGGGTGAGCAGAGGACACCCCCGCACGCTTTAGGCCCTTATTTTTGGGCAGCGTGGCCAGGATCCGGCCACCTGCATCCCTCCTCCAGGCCCCGCAGCAGCGGGATGTGGTGTTCGGAGCATCCCAGGTTCGGGATGCGGGGTTGGTGATGTCCCGGGAGCATCCCGGGGTCGGGCTGGCCACGGTCCCGTTTGCCGTGCGAGGTGCTGGGGGACGGGACGGGAGCAATTGGGACGGGATAGGAGCAACTGGGACGGGACAGGAGCAACTGGGATGGGACAGGTTGGTGATGTCCCGGGAGCATCCCGGGGTCGGGCTGGCCACGGTCCCGTTTGCCATGCGAGGTGCTGGGGGACGGGAAGGGGGGAACTGGGACAGGATAGGAGCAACTGGGATGGGATAGGAGCAACTGGGATGGGGCTGAGCACACGCTGAAGCCTGTGCCCCGTTTCTGAGGACACCAGCGTGCCCTTGTCCCCTCCGTGCTCCCGTATTGTGGGCAGTGCGTGTTGGATTTTTAGGGGAAAATGTCTCCTTTATGTAGGGAACTTAAAAATTGGGGATTTGTGAGTCAAACCCGAACCAGGCAGGACCAATTCACCACCTACATGGATGGGGGGGGAAGGCAGTGGCGGGGGGGTCAGAGGTTTGGCACGGAGAGCACGGGACAGGGGTCCTTCCCAGCAGCGCCTGGAAAGGGGTCATGGAGCTAAAGCCATGAGCACTTCAGGGTTTCCCCTAAATTTCCCTGAAATCAGTGAAAAAGCAGGAAAATGCTGACAAGCGCTGCGTTTCCCGGCTCACTCTGCCGCGGCGTCCCGGTGCTGGGCACAGAGGGATGCTGCCGGGGGGGTTTGGAGCCTGGCACCGCTGCTCGGGGGTTGTGGGCGAGTGAGTTTTGCCCACAGGTTATAGCAGGGGGCTCAGGGGGGGCAGTGACTCCCCCTCGCCCGCCCCGGGACCCCACCGCAGTTTGCTGGTTAAAGTGCAGCCTGGGGATTCTGGGTCATCCCCCTGGAAAAACCACCCGGGTTAAAATGTTCCCTGGGTGCCTCGGCCGCCAGCAAGGGCTGCCACGTGTGGTTTGGCAGGAGTCCCTTCCCCTGGTCACAATAGGAGTTGCGAGGGGGGTGGCGCAGGTAAGGGGAGCAAAATCCTGCCGATTTCTGACAAACCAGGCAAATGAGCTGTTCCTCTCACTCCAAGAAAGCTGCTGCTGGTTTCTCTCGCAGCGCTGGTCCAGCTGCCTCCACAGGCCCCTGGTGCTCTTGGCCTCACAGGGAGGTTTCAGCAGCTTCACCCCTCCCAGTCCTGTCCCAAACCAGCTAAAAATCCAGGTGCTGGGCCATGGGGCACAGTGGGGACTGTGCCCTGTGTGTCCTTGGGGAGCCCCGTGTCACCCCGTCCCGTGGGAAGCCCCTTCCTCCCAGGGGTTTTGCCTCTCCCGGGTAGGGATGAAGGGCCACCACCTTGTCTGGCCTCAAAGAGCCCATATCCCGTTACACAAGCTTTTCCTGCAGAATGGGTCCCCCTCCCCGAGCTGTAATTCCTCCTGGCAGCGACAGTGCAAGTGGTTATGGGACAACAAAAGAGGTTTGTGCCTCCAGGGGAGAAATAAGAATGCAAATATCTCTGGCATGAAAAAACAAAGGCGATTTACTCCTTGGTATTTCTTGTCAGTACTTTGCATCTGCCTCTGCTTCACCTTCTCATTCCTTTCCTTTGGGCTTTCCGACAGGACAGGGCTTCGGGGAGCGATGGGGGCTGGAGGGGCCCCGTGGGGGGGACGGGGTTGATGGTCGGGGCTGCAGCCTCTCCAGCCCGGGGGATTTGCAGCTCTGCTCTGAAATGCCTTTCCCCAAACGCTGGTTGCCCACTTTGGGGGGATTTTCCCTCGGAGAGGGTTTGGCTGTGCCTCGCCGTGATTCTTTGCACGTGCTTCTCCATCTTCCCGGGACTCTTGCCCCGTTCCCAGCCCGGGAGCGTGGTCGTGTCCGAGGGCTCCGTACGCCGCAGGGAAGGGGAGCAAGAGCCCTGTCAGTGGCATAAATCAGCCGGGAGCTGGGAAACGGGGCAGGCTGAGAACAGAAAGGGAGCGCGGGGCCCCGCTCTCCGCCGCCGGATGGGTCAGGGACTTCCAGTTCATTTATTCTGCCGGGGTTCGCCCAGCCCTGCTCGGCATGGGTAATGTTTTTTCTGAAAGACCTAGCAGTTAGATGGGTGAAAAACATTCTCCTGTCTCAGGAGCTGGCAGGAATCCTAGTAAATCTGCAGAAGTATGTTTTTGTCAGTGCTGCTTATTCTGCGAGGGGAACTAGTATAAACTATTCCAGTAGAAAACCTTTTCCTGGAATAAAGTCTTGACTCTGTTCAGAGCATTGTCAGGACAGTTGTACCGGGAAGGGAGCTTTGCTGGTAAACATCCCGGGCCCAAGGAGTGCTCACGGGGCAGGCACAGAGCTCCTGCACCCTCTGCCCCACGGAAAAACCCCTCCCCAGGCACCTGCTGCCGGGCTCAAATCGAAAACAAGATCTGTGCGAGGTTAGTTTGGAAACAAAAGGATTTGCTTGGAAACAAGGATTATTTTTTTCTGCTCCCCTGAAAGCCTGTCTGTCCCCGCTGGGATGTGCCACCAGCCATCCCCTCCAGGCTGTGGGTCCCAGTGGGGTTGGGGACAGTGCTATGGGCCACACCATGGGGGCCTGTCCCCATCCCACATCACTCAGCTTCTGCTCGCCTGCCTCAGTTTCCCTGACCCCGGCTGGCAGCAGGGGAGATGCTGGGAGCCCCTGGGGTGCTCCGGGGACAGCAGCGGGTGCCCGCTCGGGTTTGAATTCCCCATCCCCTGCTGTGTCCTTATCTCCCCGCTCCTGGCAGCTGGGACGGGGACTCCTGCCGAGGCTTTCGGGGGGAGAGCGGGGCCGGCGGCGCGGGCTTGGGCCGGAGATCAGAGGTGGGATGCCCCGGGTGGGGTGTGAGCCCCCGGGGCTGGCAGGGAACAGCGCGGCAGGGCCGGGCCTGCTTCAAAGGGCGGCAGGTTTTTCTGGGCTCGGGCTGCTGCTCTGCTCTCCAGGCAGGCGTGAAAATGTGAAAGAATGTGAAAAATGTGAAAATGATCGTGCTGGCCCCAAGATTTGTAAACTTCTGGTTAATGTGTAATAAATACATGACAGATACTCCCAGCGCTGGGCTGTGGCTGCTCGGAGGTGGTACGGCCCGTGGTGGCATCCCCCAGCCCAGGAGGCATCTCCCCTCCCCTGCCCTGAGACCAGCCTCAGGGTGTCCCGAGCAGCACTGGTTGGAGAGGCTTTGGGGCTTTTCTGAACTGGTTTAGCTGGTTTCGACTTATCCCTCATCTTTCTGTGAACCGCCTTGCCTGGCTTGCAAAAATGCCTTTTTATTTTATTTATTTAATTGTGGTGTAAAGGCTGGGGGTGCAGCCCCAGCGATGGCGGTGCCCACAGCCCAGTGCCACGCGGTGAGGAGCGCGGTGCTGGTTCTCCTGAGGCTGCTGGGTGAGATCCTGCCCCGGCAGCTCCTGGGGCTGGAACCATCCGAGCAGCATTTCCTGCTTGGCACGAAGCAAAGGTGCAGGAGTTGCTCTGGGGGAATCTCTTCTGAGTCACTTAATTTTTTGGCAAATATAGTTACAAGATGGTCCTATAAGATGGTGGCCTCGTGCTCCGCTGGGGTTTGGACCTTCTGTGGATGACGATGGTTCTGCAGGAACCTGGCAAGAGCCACGCTGGCACATCCCACCTTCCACCTCTCCTTCAAATGGCCTCTGAGCATCAGAGATCAAAAAGTTTCCCCTGACGCTAACGCATAAATTTCAGCCCTGGGTGACTTTCCCCTGTAATTCAGAGAGAAGAGTGTGTCCTTTGGAAGTGGGTTTGATTGTTTTTGTTCGCCGTGTCACCCTGGTGTCTGTCCCCCCAGCAAATGGGAAGGACAGAGGTTGGGTGGGTGAAGATGGGTTCGGCTCCCTTGGGTGCTGCTTGGTTTTTCTGGGTGGCTGCAGGTGCCAATGGGGTCCCCAGTGCAGCCCCGGGGACAGGATGGGGTCTGGAGGGTGGGATTGTGTGGTGTGGCTTCATGGAGAGGGTGAGCAGCACCCGCCTCAGGCACTGCTCAGCTGGGATGGTTACACTGAACTTTGTCATTTTGTATTTTTCCCCCAAACCCAATTCCAGGTCTGGGCGATCTCCTGCTCCCTCGCCCCACGGAGAGCCAGGGGGCTGAGATGGGGCTGGGGTCGCCCTGGGCCATGCCCGGGTTAGTCCCTGCTGTTCCAATGAAGCTGGTGACCCCAGTCCCTGCTTTCCCCCATCGACCCGGGCTCAGCCCCTGCGTGGGGGTGTTGGACCGAGGCCGGGCTGTTCCTTCCAGGCAGCCTCACCCACAGACCCACCGCGTCCTGTCCCTCTTAATTAATGTACCGAGAGCTTCGAGTACATGGAAGTTTATAAATTGATGCTCTGGGCTATGAATTATGAATGGAATCACATCCCTGATCACTGCAGTGCTACGCCAACAGTCCTGAGGCTGCTCATCTGAGCCACAGCCCAAAGCTTTTAAAGATCAAAACAGCAAAACCTGGGAATCATTTGCTTTGCCAGCTACAGACCTCTTGGCCCACGGATGGGGCTCATCGTGTTCCCTCTCCTGCCTCCTCTTGCCGCCTTTTCCTCTTTTGTTTTCCAGTAGTCCAATATTCCCTCTCCTTGCCCTCCTGGTTTGTCATGGTGATTAGTTCCCTGCTCAGCCATGTTGACCATCCCATGGGAGCTGTGTTCTCCATGGCACGTTCCTCCCCCAGGGTTGCTGGTACCAACTGGGGACGTCCCAGCTGGGTCCTGCTGGTCCCCTGGCCACCCCCACCGAGGCACAGGTCCCCACACCATCCCCGCAGCTGATGCAGAGCTGCTCACGCACGGATTGCTGGGGTTTGGGAAATCTCTGCAGCCTCATCTCCCTTTGGCCTTAACTCTCTGCTGAAGATGGTGTGGTTCATGGCTCCAGCTCTGCTGTCGGTCTTTGGGGTGTTTATCCCTGAACCTCTCCACCACTGGGAGCCTAATCCTGCCCTAATGAACTGGACGTGCTTAATCCTGTAAGCCCAGGTGTTTGTGGGGTGTTGTTGCCTCCTGGCTTTGCCTGGGGTTCTGCATTCTCACCTCTCCCTGCTCCAGGGCTGCTGCCCACGGGGGCTGTGCCGTCCCCTCCGACCCACCACCACCACCAGCTGGGGGGGAGCAGGACTAAGGTTAAAAAAAGGAGCTTTAGAAACTTGTCAGTTGTTACAAATGACGGCAAAGCCCTGCCCATTCCCCCCTTCCCCATGATGCTCTGCACCCCACAGCACCCGGGAGGGAGGGCGAGAGCTGCTCCGGGGGTGGCAGCGCCGGGGAAACCATCCCAGCCCCAGCCACGGATGCGGGAGAGGAGCTCTTGCTCTTTCCAGTCCTTTCCAGTTGAGCCACCATGAGATGGGCAGCAAAAAATACAACTTCAAAGGCAAAGTACTGGTGTCTGGATACGCTGTTCCACCCCAGGCCGGGGTGCAGGGGGGTCCTGATTGTGTCTCGTTTCTCTTGCAGGGGGGCTGCAGTGGCCGTGCGAGGCGAAGGACAGACGGGGAGTCACCAGCAGAGCCAGGGCAGTTCTCCATCCGCCTGGAACAAGGGTGGCCAGCACTTTGGCAAGCCAAGGAGCCCGTCTCTGGGGAAAGAGCTGTTTGTGGGATGCAAACATCCCCCCAGCTGCGGCCAAGGGAGAGGAGCCGTGGATCGAGCTGGCTTCGGGAGGGAAAAATACCACTTCGGTTTGGTGTCTAATTAGATATTTACCAGGAAGGAAGGAAAAGTTAAAAATAGGGTGACAGTGACTTCAAAGGGTGTTTTTGACTTCTAAGAATAACACCTTTGCTGGCGCCGATTTCAGGAATATTGGCTGTGCCTGGGTGTGAAAGACGGAGCAGACGTTGCCGCTCGGTCGGTGGCCAAGGGAGCAAACCCAGCCCCCCCGCCCCCGGCAGCACGAGGAGGGGATGTCGGTGTCGCTGCCAGGGCCCGTGGCTCAGCTGCACCCCTGGGGACACAGCGGAGGGAGTTTAGGGAAAGCAAAGCCACCGGTGCCCCGGCACGGGTCGGGGGGCATGTGTGGCACCATGGGGACCCCCTCCCCGCGGGGGGTGCTGGTGCTCGCCGTGGCGCTGGCGGGGCTCTGGGCTCCCCGAGCTACGTACGGACAGCCCAACTTCATCCTCATCCTGGCGGACGACGTGGGCTGGGGGGATCTTGGGGCCAACTGGGCAGAGACGAAGGAGACCCCGCATTTGGATGAGCTGGCAGCCGAAGGGACGAGGTAATGTCTGTGCCCATTCCCCCACCTTGTCCCAGCATCCCTGGTTACTCTGTCCCGCAGCAAAGGGGGTTTCGCTGCCGCAGGGACCAGCAGGCAGAGGGGGTTTCACTGGTTTGGTTTTGGGTGCATGGGGGGAGCACCCAGAGCTCAGCACCTGGGGGTGCAGGTCCATCCATCCCTGCTGGCATCTGTGAGCTTCATCCCCTGCTCCAGACCCTCATTGCTGGGGCAGAAGGGGACACGTGGAGGGGAGCAGGGGGGGACAGGGCAGCGTTAGACCACGCAGGGGCTTGTGAGTGAAGGGTCCTTTTGTCTCCCAGGTTCGTGGATTTCCACTCAGCTGCCTCCACTTGCTCCCCGTCCCGTGCCTCTCTGCTCACCGGGCGCCTCGGGGTGCGCAATGGGGTGACCCACAACTTCGCCGTCACGTCGGTGGGCGGCCTCCCCCTCAACGAGACCACCCTGGCCGAGGTGCTGCGGGAGGCTGGGTACAGCACGGGGGCTATAGGTAATGCCCGACGGGCCGAGGGGGTGTCCGGGGTGGGGAGATGGTGGGGAGATGGACACCAGGATGCCCATGTCCATCCCCTGTGAGGAGGTGCTGTGGGTCAGTAGGGGAAACACGCAATTAAAGGGAACTCTAAAGGACTGTGTGGGGGAGATTTTGCGTATCCCTCTCGGATTTTGCAATTCAAAGCTTAAAACCTTCCTTTTCAGACACAGGGTATTGCTTGGAGTTCAGGCCCGTCCCAGCTCTCCCTTGGAGCTCTCATTGCTTCACCTCACACGGGACGTGCTGGGTTTTCCTCAGCAAACACGACTGTGCTCAGCAGCTCTGCCCCCCGCACCCCACATCCCGGTGTGATGGTGGGGGCAGCGGGACACGCTGGATTTTCCTCAGCGAACATGACTGTGCTCAGCAGCTCTGCCCCCTGCACCCCAGTGTGATGGTGGGGGCAATGGGGGCCACTGGCCACCTGGCTTTGGGCACCCTCCTGTCGCTGTGGGTCCCCCCCAGGTGGTAGCGACCCCATTCCACCTGCAGCTCCCCTTGCTTGGCTCCCTGTGCCGGCAGAAAAGCCCTCGCTGTCTCTGGTTCCCCTTGGTCCTTGCAGGACCCCTCTGGGACGGGTGCGTTGGGGGGGGCAAACGCGTGGGGAGGGTCAGAGAGCGAAGCTGGTTGTGTGCGAGGGGTTAGAGCATCGTCTCTTCTGAACACAAACACATGAAAGAGCCTTTTAAGGCTGGAGATGGCGGAACTGCCCAGGCACGAGATACCTTGTGCGTTTTTTTCTGAGTTTCTGCAAGAAAAAAAAAAAAAAAGGCCTTCTGGAAGCACGGCCAGCACAGTCTGTCTTGTAGCCAGATTAAAGCCCCCAGCGCTGCGGGTGCCCCGTGGGGATGGTGGTGGTGGCTGGTGAGGAACTGCCCAGGCACGAGATACCTTGTGCGGTTTTTTCTGAGTTTCTGCAAGAAAAAAAAAAAAAAAGGCCTTCTGGAAGCACGGCCAGCACGGGTTTAATATTTTTCCTAGAACTTTTTTTTTTTTTTTTTTTTTTTTTTTTTTTTTTTTTTTTTTTTTTTTACAAAAAAAAAAAAAAAAAAAAAAAAAGGCCTTCTAGAAGCACGGCCAGCACAAACAGTGTGTCTTGTAGCCAGATTAAAGCCCCCAGTGCTGCGGGTGCCCTGTGGGGATGGCTGGTGGTGGCTGGTGATGGCTGCGTTAACCTCTGAAACGGTTTCTGTGGCTTCCTCACAGGCAAGTGGCACCTGGGACACCACGGCCACCATCACCCCAGCTTCCGCGGTAAGGGATGAGGCGGGGGGGGACAAGACGAGTGTCCCACGGCCGCCTTGTCCCTGCCAACACCCTCGCTCGCCCCTCAGGCTTCGACTACTACTTTGGGATCCCCTACAGCCACGACATGGGCTGCACGGACACCCCCGGCTACAACCTGCCCCCCTGCCCCCCCTGCCCACGCCACGCTGCGGCTGCCAGGTACGGGGGTGCGGGGGGGTTCGAGTGCTGGCACTGGGACCTCCAGCCCCAAGAGCTGCCCATTGATGCTCTGTGCACCCGCTTTTCTCCCCGTGGACCCTGCAGCAGGTTGGGGAGGGGGGTCGGTCCCCAGAGCATCATCCCCTTTCCGCTCCCCCCCTCAGCTGCACCTTTCTGCAAGGCCAGGAGGGCTGCCAGGCTCCGTGCCTGCTGCCACCCCCGTCCCCGCTCCGGTGACGAGCCTGGAATGGCTTCTTTCCGGCAGGGTGGCGAGGAAGGACTGTTACACGGAGGTGGCCCTTCCTCTCTTCGAGAACCTCACCATCATCCAGCAGCCCGTCAACCTGAGCAGCCTGGCAGCGCGCTACGCGGAGGAGGCGGCGCGGTTCATCCGTCGGGCCAGGTGAGATGCCACCCGCTGTCCCCTGTCCCCTTCACCAGGAGAGCTCCTGGGTCACCACAAACATCTGCTGCTCCTGCTGCGGGGGGTCCCTGGGGCTGCTTCCCCCCGGGCTGCAGAGCCAGAGGGGTTTGGTGGCTGCTCCTCACCACGGCGGGTTTTTCCTTGAGCTCTGCCACGTGCCAGAGCAGGACCTGGTGTTTCCCAGTGGTTCTTGGGAGCAGATCTGGGGGCTCCATGGCTCAGCTTCCCAGCCCACTGGGGGAAGGAGAAGCCACCAGGGCTGTCACCTGTGTCCTGCAGGGCTCGTGGTGGAAGCCTTTGGTGCATCTCCTCTAACCCTGTGTGTTTAAAGCCACCACTTCCAAGGAAGGTCCAAGCCTTTGGGTTGGGCTGTGCCTCCTTCCTGGGGGTAAAGTGGGGTGAGATCCCTGCTGATGGGGACCGGAGGCAGGGAGGGAAGCTCTGCCATCCCTCTGTCCTCCATCCCCCCGTCTTTGCGATGGCTCCAGGTGGCTCTGCTGGGTGGTGGGGGCACCTCTGTGGGTGGAGGATGCTGGTGGCAGCTGGTGCCCATGGCAGCTCTGGCGCTGGGACCTGGAGGTGTTAAAACCCACCCCATACGTGGGTTTAAGTGGGATTTATCCCCATTTATTTTGGGGATAAAGCGCTGGACCCCGGACTTCAGGGTCTGCCTTCCCCAGCCACGCGGGGACACGAGGAGCTGGGTCATGCTCTGCCCCCAGGAACAGAGCGGCTCCTCCAAGATGACGACCCCGAAGCCCTGCTGATGGGTTGTGTAATTTTAATCCCTATTATCGGCGGATTATGAGCTGTGACTTTGCAAAATGCCTCCCTGCAGCGTGAGGAGGGGATGCGGTGCCGGGCAGCCGTGCCAGAGCCCATCCCACTGCATCCAGGGGTAACACAGACCCGGGAAGGGCCAGGGCAGGGGGGTCCTGCAGGGACCTGGGGAAGGGTTTGTGTAACGGGGGCAAACGAGGGGCTGGGCAGGGAGCAGCCTGTGGGGAAATGGCTGCTTACATCTCCTTACAAGCCTGGGTACTGTTTTGCACACAAAATTACTATCGTTTTATCCCCTTTGGGGACCAAGAATTGGCCACAACGTGGCCCGGCCACCCGCTCGAGATGCGTGCCTGTAGCAGAGCTGCCAGGATGCTCTTGGGCTGTGAAACGGAGCGGGTGAGCTCCGGGTTAATAGGAAAAACCTTTAAACTCCCAGTAGTATTTTGGGGTTATCTGCGTTCACAGAGAACAGGATTAAGCAGGTGCCTGCCTTTTCTCTCCTTCGCTTTGATGGCTTATTCCAGTTTTCCTCTGCTTGACTCATCCATTATGGGGCAACAAAAGAACACCGGATTTGTCATCTCGGTGTTTTTTTAACCAGTCGTGTCAAGGTTGAGCAATCCACGGCAGCGAGACTTGGCTCTGGTGGGGCCACTCAGAGCTCAGTGAACACGGGAGCAAAAGTCAGGGACGTTTGTCTTAAGTTATTGGTTAAATGTTTGCTCAGTTTTCGGGAGAATTCCGAGTTGTTGATGGGAAAAGTAAGGGGGAACGCCACGGTCATGAGTCTGGGTGCTGGACCCTGCCTGATGATCCCTGTGGGATGCGAGGGGGGGAAGAGGCTTCCCCCACTCCAGGGTCTCTGGCATCCCAAGGGGAAAGGTGCCCCATAGCAGCAAGGGATGGATCACCCCCCCCGACCCCCAGCACCTTGCAGGGGCTGCGCAGGGTGACTGGGGGGGGACACAGCCCTTCAAGGGCATCCAGCGCCGCTGGGGAAGGATGCGGCAGCTCCGGGCGGGATGGGATTTACTCATTTTCCATCCCCAGGTGGGTGACGGGTAAAGGAAGGAAGTGTCGAGACGCACGTCGGAGGGGCCCCCAAAGCTTTCTGGGGGTGGCCGTGGGGCGGCCGGGGGTGTGCGCGGGCTGGGGCACGTCCCCGGGATCCGGCCCCTCCCCGCCGCTCGCCATCCCACCCTTCCCCTCCGAGGTCCCTGAGGAAGAGCGGGCCTCGTTGGAGGAGATAAATATAGCCGTAAACAAGCAAACAGGACATGTCCTCTGGTGATTTAATGGCAAACAGGCAGCGGGGCAGCGCGCGGTGGGTGACCGTGCCACGGTCCCTGCCCGGGGCTGCTCGGGGTCGGCGTGAGCATCCTTCTGCCCATCCTCGGCTCAAACCACCGGCGGGGGCTGAGCGCTTGCTGGGGAGGGGGAGAAAGGGCCAAAATGGGCCCTGTGAGGGGGGGGGGAGGGGGGGGTGCCAGGGGTGCGCCGGTGCAGGGTGTTTGGCTGGATGCTGGCTGCGGGACACCGGGAGATGGAGGAAGGGACAAGCTCACCCCAGATGGGAGCAGTGCACAGCGGGGAGAGGTTTGAGCAGGAGCAGGGGAGCAGTGGCTCACGCTGGGCCAAGCATCCCCCCTGCCAGGGGAGCGGGGGGGTTTGCAGCCGTAGGATGCACACAAAGTGGCTTTGCTCCCCTGGAGCTGTAGCAGAGGCAGGGGTGGCTGCAGGAGGAAGGGCCAGCACTCTGTGTCCCCAGTGCCACCACCCTGGTGACCTCCATCCACCACCTTCCCCTTCCCTGACCTGGCTGAACGCTCTCCCCCTCTTCCCTGCGCAGCGACAGCGGCCGCCCCTTCTTCCTCTACCTGGCGCTGGCCCATATGCACGTCCCCCTGGGGGTCCCCCCCTCGCCCCCCACCTCGGGCAGGGGCATCTACGGAGCCTCCCTGAGTGAGATGGACGCCCTGGTGGGACGGATAAAGCAGGTCGCCGACAGCCACGGGAAGGGCCACACGCTCCTGTGGTTCACAGGTACGGCAGGAAAACCGGCTGCGGCGGCTGGGAGCGACACCGGCACCGGGAGTGCGTGGGGGGGCGGGGGGGCAGGTCCCCTCTTTGTCCCCTGCCCTCGGTGCTCCTGGCTCCTCCGTGGATGGGGAGCGATCAGCAGCCACGGCTGAGCTGCCCGGGGCTGTCACATCGTGGGGACAGGGGTCCTGGGCTACCGTGGCCACTCAGCTGGGTGCCCACCCTGCCACCCCCCCTCCGGCCACGGAGTTGAACCGGCAGGGCTGTGCCTAATTAAACCGCAAATCCTCATTCATTAAGAAGCCCAAATCCGCTCTCGCTGAGCAGCCTCCCTAATGAGGATGTCTTGCTCCTGACGACAGGAACCGCTTCGCTGCTCATTAACGCCCGAAGCTGGTGGCAACCGCCCCCCCCCCGCCCCGCACCCCAGCTCCGCTCCAGCCCCTCGCCCGGGACTCGGGCAGCCCTGGCCCTTGAAAATAAACTTTTAGAAATGGAAATAAACCCGCTCCTCTTGCTAATGTGGGAAAGCATCACAGGGATGGGAAGGAGGGACGGGAGGGTCACTTGTCCTTGCTGCCCCCCCCATCGCAGCGGTGCCCCCCGATCCTGGTGTTGCTCATGGGGACATTGATTTCTCTTGCAGGTGACAACGGCCCCTGGGCGCAGAAGTGTGAGCTGGGGGGACGCCCAGGGCCCTTCGTGGGGGCCTGGCAGCGGCAGCGAGGTAACCCGGCAGTGTGGGGGGGTCCCTGTGCCTCGTGGGGGGGCTGCTCCACAAAGCCCTTCATCGCCCATGGAGGGGGATGTGGGGAACATTTCACCCCCCAGCCTTCCTGCTGGCTCTCTTGCCTTGAAGACACCCCAGGATATTTTTTTTTTCTTTCAAGCAGCCAAGTTTTCCCCTAAAACTGCTGCTGGGGGGAGCTGCCCCCCCCGGTCCCTGTTACCCTGGAGCTGGAGTCAGTGGCTACTGGATTTGGGGATGGGATGCTCTCACCACCCAAGCCCCGTGGCCATCGGCTCTGGCAGGGTCTGGCAGCCCCCAGCCCCATCCCGCCCGGAGCAGAGCACCCACCACCCCTCCCAGCCCAGCACCACGGGACTTTGCTTTTCTTTCTCCCCACCGTTTTGTTGTTTGGTTGTTGGTTTTTTTATTTTTTTTTTTTTTTTTTTTTTTTTCTGCTTTTCCTCCTTTTTCTGGCCAAGCCATCTGCTCGGTGGGTTTGTTTCAGCCGGAGTGGCCAGAAGCATGCATGAGTCAGGCGTTTCCCACTTCTGCTTGTATTACGCAGTGTCAACGCGCGCCCGGCTCGGTTCCCCTCTCTGCCCGGGGTCAGCGGGGAGGCAGCGGTGGCCCAGGGGCCGCGGGAGCCCTCCTCCTCCTCCTCCTCTGCTTCCTGACACCTACCCGGGGCCATGCAGCCCCTGGCCGCTTCCCTGGGCGAGCGCTGCCGCCGGGCTGGCTTGGTTTCCCCCTTCCCAGAGCCCTTCCCCGGGCTGGCCCCTGCGGATGAAATCGTAACCTTAATTTTTTTATTTTATTTTATTTCATTTTTTTTTTTAGTAAACAAACCCTGCTGACGACCTGGGTTGCTCTTGAGCAACCGACGGTCACAAGCCGGAGCGGATGGTACAGGCAGTCCAGTGTTTGGGAACAGAGCTGAGGAAAACACGGCCCCTTTCCAGCCTCTCACTGCCCAAAAACAGCCCGAGCCCCGGCCGCCGCGTGGGGCTGGGGAGCCCCCGGGCTGGCAGGGCCCCCGGAGCTGGCTGTAAATGCCACCCGGGAAGGATGGCTTCTGAAATCCCTCAGCTGGTTGCTGCAGGGATGTTTTGACAGCCAGCCCAGCGTTACTGCTGGGGGGGCTCACGCTGCCAGCGCCCCGGGTCCTGGGTGCTGGGTGGGTGGGAGGGATGCTCTGTCACCCCACCCCAGGGAGGGAAAGACCCTGGGTGGGTGGGATGCTCCGCCACCCTACACCGGGGGGGAAAAGCCCCTCCAGGAAAGGGAGGGCAGGGAGGACAGGCTGCTCGGGACTCTATACATTTCACATAGCTCGGAGTCTCTGTTTAGGGAAAATCCCAAATTCCAGGGATGTTTTCCACTGATTTTGAGTGGTCGCTGGAGTTGGTCCTCGCTGAGAGAGAGCAGCACATCCGTGTGGGCTGACCCCCCTTCTCCAGTTGGGGACCTTTCTGCAGCACCCAAAAACCCTTCTTTCACCTTGGGGCCAAGAGCCCAGCAAGGGAGATGCTGGGATGGAGCCTGTGGTTCAGGGGTGTGATGCTGGCCGTGTTTTGAGGAGGTTTGGGAGGCTCCGGACGCGGTGTCCCTGTGCTGGGGACCTGCTGTGTGTGGTGGGAGCGGGACCAGGGGTTTAATCCCAGCATGGGAATGCTCAGTTCAGCTTTCCTGGAAAGCCACAGCCTCCACGGTCCCCACAGAAAAATCCCTGGTTGAGTTTGGGGTGTTTCAGCCCCATTTCACCCCCCAAGTGTTAATGTGAACTCGCTCACAGGCAGCTCTGGTGTCCTGCCCACCTGAGGTGCTTGGGGGCTAGAGGGAAATACCCACCTGTGTCCCCTGGAGACCCCTTGGTCATGCATGGAAAAGCCCTTGAAATGCAGCTGCCTTACCGGGAGGGTGAGATGGGGATTGATATTAATTGCTATAATTGCTGTAATTTCCTAGGGTGTCTGAAGGCACCTTGCCTTAGGCGTCTGTGATGTGTGTTAGAAGCACCGTTACACTGCTGGGAGCCACAAGACACCCCGGTGCCAGCTCTGTCCCACCACTTCAGGCCCCAGAGAGAAGTTCTGTGGGGGGAAATGCTGAAAGTTTGGGTGGGGAGTGGGAGAGATTGGGGCAGGACGGGCGGCGGGGCCAGAACCCTTTTCCCAGGACTATTCCTGGTGCCACCATCGGTGCTGTCTCCGTGCCATACGTGTCCTCCTCCGGTGCGGGGGCGGTGGCATCGCCTGGCAGCGCAGGATCGGCCCAGGTGCCCGTAGCTGTGATCCCCGGAGAGTCCGGGCTGGGATGGGAGCAGGATCGGCCCAGGTGCCCGTAGCTGTGACCCCCGGAGAGGCCGGGCTGGGATGGGACCGGTGCGGGGATGTGGGGGAGCGCGGGGTGGCTGTGTGGCAGCAGGGACATCGTCTCTCTCTTGGCTCTGCCCGGAGGAAATGGCTTTGGGCGAGCGGCGTTGCCATGTGCACGCTGAAAGGCGGGCGGACAAAGGCTGCGCCTGGGAAGTTTGCTCGGTGAATCGGGTTGGGATTTTCTGTTTGCCCCATTCCCAGCCCCTTCCCTCCCCGGCTGCCGGGGGCCCTTTGGGCTCCAGCCAAACCAGAGGCTCTTTAACACCCTTCTACCCATTTCGATGCCCAGTACTCCCATTTCAGTGCTCACCATCCCTGTTTCAGTGCTCACTATCCCTGTTTCAGTGCTCACCACCCCCATTTTGGTGCTCAGCACCCCCAATTCAGTGCTCACCATCCCCGTGTCAGTGGTCAGCCTCCCCAGGTGGAGGAAGGAACCAGAAGCTTCCTCGTGCTGTGCTTTTTAAACCCAGGGGCAGAGCGGGACCGGTTTGGGTGATGTCAGGGAAACACCTGAAGAGGTTAATTAGCCGGCAGAGGGGTTATCAGCAGGATGGTGTTTTTGTGAAGCAGGTTTCCAGCAGGCTGGGGGGCTGTTGGTGCAGGGGGCCGTTCACAGCCCCTGCCAGAAATTCCTGCATTTCCCACCTGCTCCATATTCTCTCCCGACGTGGAATGGGGTGGGCAGGTGGCAGCTCCAGCATCTGGCTGTGTTCCTCATCACTCACTGGAGCAGAGGAGAAACACACAGCAGGGCCAAACTGAGCCCCCTCTCCCTTTTTAAAATCTCCTGTAACTCTTCTCCCTCCCCTCACCCAGCTCCGTCTCCAGTGAATTGCTCTCCTTTGGGGTCATTTACTCTGTCTCTGCCTCGGAGCAGCTCCTTTCCCAGGGGAACTCGGGGCTTGGGAGTTTCTCCCGTCGGTGCCAAGCTCCCGGGCAGCGGGATGCCGAGACTGCCCTTTTCTCTTGCAGGAGGGAGCTCGGCGAAGCAAACGACCTGGGAAGGAGGGCACCGGGTGCCAGCGCTGGCCTACTGGCCTGGCCACGTCCCCGCCAAGCGGACGAGCCACGCTCTGCTCAGGTAGGAGCCCAGCTGGATCCTATCGGGAATCGGGGCAGCCCCAGTCGGGAAGGATCCACCATCCCCGAGCTGGGACCCAGGTGACCATGGGGGTTTTGGCAGCAAGAGCTGGTTGTTGCCTGCCGTGTGCCAGACTCTGTCCTTTTGTCCTCTCCCGAGCCCGTAAGCCTTAATGCTCCAGCAAAGAGGAGTTGAAAGGGCTTTTTGTGAGGCCGGAGGATTGGCGTGAGCAGGCTCCGTGTGCCTCCTGCCCGCGGTGGCCGAGTGCCTCCCGATAATTAAAAGATGACGATGTTCTCTCTCTCCACCAAGAAGCAGGGTTAGGCTTTGTGGTTTGTGAATGGCTTTATGTGGAGGAGGGAGCGGTTGTGGGCCGGGCCGGCCGGGGCCATGGCGCTGGCGCTGAGCGCAGGATGCGGCCGGGCCGGGCCGGGCGGCGGGGGGGTGACTTCTGCTGGTCCCAGCCGGAGCAGAGGGGAAGGGAAGGGCCGTTGGGTCCCGCTCCTCACCTCGACGGGGAGCCCTGCACTGTGAGGGGGTCCGTGTTGCAGCAATATTGCACCTCTGCGTGGTGCAGGGCTTCACAGCCCCCCTCTCCACAGCCCTCCTGTGCCGCGTGGGGGGCACAGCCTGGGCTGGGGGGCAGTGGTGGGATCCCCCATCCCCTTTCATAGAGTCACAGAATGGTTTGGGTTGGAAGGAACCTTGAAAATCATCCAGTTCCAACCCCCTGCCCTGGGCAGGGACACCTCCCACCAGCCCAGGTTGCTCCAAGCCCCCTCCAACCTGCCCTTGAACCCCTCCAGGGATGGGGCAGCCACAGCTTCTCTGGGCAACCTGGGCCAGGCTCTCACCACCCTCACACCAAACAAGTTCTTCCCCACATCTCAGCTCCATCTCCCCTCTTTCCATGTCAAACCCTTCTCCCTCCTCCTAGGGCTCCCCTCCCTGACCCAGAGTCCCTCCCCAGCTTTCCTGGAGCTCCTTGAGGGACCGAAGGGCTTCATCCCTGTGATGGTGGGGCTGGGAGTGTTGCTGGGTGTTGGGAAAGTGTCCCAGCTGCTGGAAGCGGGTCTTGACTCGTGGGCCTGGGTGAGGCATTGGGTGTTCCCAATGTCCATGAGATGAGCTGGAGCCACTCACTCCTACGTGGCCCGAGGGCAGCTCTGGGAGCTGGATTTTTGCAAACGGGGGAAGGTTCAGGGCGTGAGGTTGGGCACTGGAGGGGATGGGGCAGCACCCCTTGGGCTTCACCTCCAAACCCTTCTTCTCCACAGTGGGTGAGGGACCGGCCTCTGGGACATGGGGCAGAGCTGCCAACCCCTGCCTGCTCCAGTGGCTGGGACCGTGCAGCACAGGACCAGTGCCCGTCCCCATCCCCCTGTCCCACCAGCCTCCTCACCCCCCTGCAGCGCTCAGCCAAGCCCAGGCATTCCCCTTATCTCCTCAAAGACCTTATCTCCTGCATTTTCCAGCTCCAGTCCAGCAGGTTGGACAGCTGGAAATCTAGAAAGCCGGTGGCAGCACAGCCTTTGGAGCACGCTGGGTGCTCAGAAAGTGGCTCTGTAGCTCCTCAGTAGTCACAGCAAATGCAGTGTCCCCCCCAGCATTGCCATGGGGCCATGCTCAGCTGTGCAGGGTGATGCCCTGGCATCAGGACGAGGCAACCCCTGTTTGGGAGGCAGTTTAGAGCCAGCGTAGGGGACACGAGTGATGGTGTGTGCTCAGAAAGGTGCCACCACTGTGGTCCTGGCCATGGCAGGGGACGTGGAGGGATGTGAAGGGACGTGGAGGGATGTGGAGGGGTGTAGAGGGCAGGGGCTGCTCAGCGCTCGTGGTGTGTTGGGGCAGGTGGCTTTTCTCTGCACTGAGAGTCACCCTTGGGGATGTCTCTCAAAGGATGAGTGTGTGAAATAGGGCGGTCGAAGGCTTGTCCTCCCAGCTGATGGGGAAGACCAAGAGCCCTCTGCACACAAGGAGGGATCTCTGTCTGGTGGGTCCCCCGGGAAGGGCAGGAAGGGCAAGGGCAGGCGTTAGCCACCTGCGTGAGCCTCCTCCTGCCCCTGGGGTTATGAAAATGCTGACAGCCTTTGCCATCCGCCCTGGGAGAAGAGCCTGCTCCTGGCCTCTCCCCGGCATCGCTTGGCTTCGCATCCTTCCCGGCACAGGGAGCGGCGGGGTGAGCGGGGGTGAGCGTGGCCGGGGGGGCCGGGGAAGCTGAAGCCAGCAGAGAAATGCTGATGCCATCGCCGCAGACCTGCACCTGCACGCTGCTTTCTGCAGAAAACTGCCTTGTCGGCTTTTCGTAATCATATTTAATTGTCGGAGCCACCCGCCATGCCCCTGCCCTTCCTTGCCCCAACCCGAAGTAGGGCACAGAAGAAATAGGTCAGTGGGGTGGTGAAGAAGCAGCAAATTGCATCACCCTGGCAGTGCCGGCGGCGTGGGGCCGGGCAGGTTGGGCAAGCTGGTGGGGTGTGGGGAGAGCTGGTTCAGCCGCCCGCGCCGCCCCACCGCCGGGGCAGGGCAGCACCCGCTGCCACCCTCCTGCCCGGGATGCTGGTGGCCATCCCTGGTGGCCATCCCTGGGCAGCAGGCAGGGACCTGCCCTCCCCAGGCTCTGCCAGCCCCTTTTCCCTCCGTGTTCGGGGCAAGAGCGGGACGTTGGGGTGACTTTGTTTGTTGAATCTCTCTTGGTGAGGGCAGGGGGGTGGCAGCATGGCTTCCCCTTTCCCACAAGTGTAGCTTCCAAGACGTGCCTGCTGGCGGGACCTTTGCTTTGAAGCTGATTTTGCCCAACGTCCTACTTTTTCATGCCTTTTTCCACAGGGCACACCTGCCCACGGCCGAAGGGATCTCTGGCCGCCTCTGCCCTCTGTCCCGTTGTCCTCCCATTTTGGTGATGGTTTCCAGCAGCCCCATCCCTGGGTTGGGGAGCACCCGCCTGTGCCATGCTGGGGGACACATCCCCCGGGTGCTGAGCACCCACGGGACCGGGGGGTTTCGGGTGGACCCGGGCTGACCCCAGCGAGGTGCCTGCAGGGATGTGCCAGCATTTTACTGGGCGCCTCCCGGCTCTCCCGGCCGCGGGGGCCGTCCCCGCCAGCACCTCGGAGCGGGGCTGCCTCTCAGCAGTGTTTGTTCTTATTTGTTCTCTCCGTCTCTTAGCAGCTAAATTAAAACTCGTTGAATGGGAGAACAGGGGGCCCTGAAGCCCTGGGCTCTTTTCTCTCACAGCTCACGCAGCTGCCATCGCTCACCGGGCAGGAGCAACGGGGCAGCAGGACTGGGGTGGCAGGACCCTGGGTACCCCCAATTTGGGGGACCTGGTGTTTTCACCTCCCCCAAGGTGAAGCCCCCGGGCTTTCAACCCCCTGAGCTGTTGGTGTGAGGGTTTTGCAGCCGAGGGATGAGGGGTGAGTCCCCGCTGGCCGCTCGGCACCGGTGGCTCTGCCACTCACCAGCTCCTGTGCCATGGCCTCGTCCCTGGGGAGGGCACTGGGCATCGGTCACACTGATGGGACCCAACGACATCCCGCTGTCCTCCGGGGCCGTGGGACACCCCGGTGGGAGGTGGCTCCTCATAGAGGTGTGGGGTCACCCCGCCACCATGTCCGTGAGATGGAGGGACGAGCACTTGTGCCTCGTGGGAGGGGGACACGGAAAGTGGGGGTCAGACGCAGGGGCTGTGAGCCGGCTCTCCCCCATCCCACCAGACCCTGCCCAAGCTCTCCAGGGGCTCGTGGCAGAGCCAGGCGGTCCCCATCCCACCCCAGCAGTGACTTTGCTCCACCTGTGGTCCTTCTGCGCCGCGGGGGGGTCCCGGCGGGTGGGGAATCGCTGTGGCTGAGCTCTGGGGGCCACAGGCAGCAGCAGGAAAGACTCTCCCCTTCGGCATCGCTGCGGAGCCGGAGGGACTCCGGGTCACCCGCTCCTTCCCTGCCTCCCTCCGCACCGGGAAGCCATCGAGGATGAGCCCCGAGCGCTTTTTTTTTGTGGCTGAGGCCCCTGACAAACCCAAGAGGTTTACGGTGGAAATGCTGACGGGCGCTTTGGTGGGAGTTGCACAAAATAGCACCGCTCTCATTTTCCATTCTGGCTGCGCCGGCTCGTGCTGCGCCATGCAAAAGCCAGACCACATTTTCCTGGGGCGACGGGATTTGCTGTCATTGGCGTAAAAAGTCCCTGTGCTAGCACTTTCTCCGGAGGGTGACCTGCTGGTGT